GCAGACAATTGCGTTCGAAAACTCTCAATTGATTTATGATGAAATTAGTCACATCTGTGAACGCAGAAGGACTAATTGCATTATTAATTATTATCTAATAGCAGTGTATCCTTCAAGTGTCTTATACAATTTTATTTTGGTTATTTAATTGATTAAGTTTGTTATGTTTTACATACGCGGGATTGAATTGTTCTCTTCTATATCTCTGCTAACATCTCCATATATTCCATTCATTAATTTCATATTTTTATTATTCGTTCGATCCGGGCTATTGCACCAAAGTCGATCATGCTCTAGATAAAGATGACAACCACTCCATAATGGAATGATTTATAGTTATATCAACGTATGATAATTACTTTTTTCATACGTAAGTCCATAGACAATGTCACCAGAAATATCATACAAGATCTGCCACAAAAACAACAATAATACAACAGTTTGCTCCAAGGATCAATTATTGATGAATCACAACAGCAATCAAAGTAAAACACTTCTTTCAAGATTTTATTACAAAAAAGGACAATGTTGTAAATGATTGGAGCTCTAGTCAACCTTAAATTGTTGCAACTTTTTGTGTGTTTGTGTATGTCTATCTTTTTATTTACAATTCATTGTTAAAATCTGACCCCTTTCTTCTGTGTAAAACCTTATTATGTTTGTGTGAGGATTTAGTAGTGTTTGGAGAGTAATCATAAAAGTTGAAGATGGATTGTATGTATGGTGTGTTTGGATAATATCGAAGTATTTTCATATTAGCATTCCAGCTTAAAACCTTAAAACAGTTTAAGGCTTTAAAGTTAATAGACCCATCGGTTTACTTATAGCATCACCGTGGTCGCGAACCTACGACGTAATGTTAAATTTCCTTTTGAGGCTGCAACTTTTCAACACTTTGAGTTTATAATGTTCATAGACCTACCAGTTTTCTTGAAGCGTCACCGTGGTCCCAAACATACGACGTAATGTTATATTCCCTTTCGAGGTTGCAAATTGATTGAATAATATTATATATATACGGGTGTATGAATTTATGACATTGGATTCTTACATTTGTTATGCTTTACGGAACTATACCAAATATACTGCTAGAGAAAACCAACGCAGACAGAAATAAGATGGCAGTGATCAGTAGAGTCAAGTCAACGACGAATGAGTCCCTTTTTTGAACAATCCTCTCCCCTCCCGTTGAGACAATCTTAACAGAAATACAGGTGGATTCTTTGTTCGAAACGCAACAGTATAGCCCAATCAACGACGAATAGGTCCCTTTTTGAACAATCATCTCCCCTCCTGTTGAGACGATCTTAACAGAAATACAGGTGGATTCTTTGTTCGAAACACAGCTGTAGATGTATTAAACAATTGTTTGCATACACGTGGAATTAATGATATAAACTATCACACTACACTGTTAGCTATCTTCATATAGTACTGCATACAACGAATACGGTGAATGACAGTATGTGAATAATGATATTATCGTCTAAACATCTTGGTACGTTATAATTTCCATTTTCTTGGTCCTTAGACAGACAATCTTTACTAAAATATTTTAAAATGCAGGTACCCTCTGCTATATCATTCATATCTCTGTGGCCTAGTATGTTTTGTTTGTATCGCAACTCGTTATATGCTATGTACTGCTACTCCGATAAGTCAAGTTCACTAATGTATAGTCCTTTAATAATTAAAACCAACCACTCTAGGATGCACATGAAGACAGACATAAACCTGTACATTTAATTGAACTTTAAACTGCATCTTATACCAGTTGGACTAATATCTATCATGGGTACGTAATCCTCGTTCATGGATAACTATCATTCCTGTCATACCGATATTTTAAAGGTGATTTTAGAGAAAATCGACCAGCTGTGTGATAGTGCTTGCTTTGTCAAACGTTTTATCAATAGGTTACAAACCACGGAAAATGTATTTGTTGAGTCATGATATTACAGAGAAAATCTTATCTCATTTTTGACTAAATTTCAAATTACTCTTATGTGGCAGATCACATCCATGGCCATTTTACACTTATGCCTACATTTCACAAATGCCTATATTACACTCATGCCTATGTAACACAGGCTTATAATACATTCATACATATACTGCACTTATGCCTATGTTACACCAGGCTTATGTTACATCTATGTCTATATTGCACACATGCTCATATTACACTGATACCTATGTTACACCCATGCCTATGTTACACCCATACCTATATTACACTCATGCCTATATTACACCAGGCCTATGTTACACACATACCTATATTACACCCATGCCAATGTTATATCTATGCCTATGATGGTATAAGGTACCAATTATTGAACTATGATTTCGGATAAAACGCATCTTTATAGACAAGGCTCAACTCAATAATATTCATTTCAGTTCAGTAAGTTCTTTGATTCTGTATTCAAGGTTATGTCTAAATATCATCAAAACAAGAACAAAAATGTTTGAGAAGTTCAAAATATACAATAGTTTTCTTCCTGATAACTCATTTCAAAATAGAACACACATGTAATTAGAATTTGTAGGTCTTCTATTCATAACGGAAAGAACAAGATACAGATTGCTGAGGAAAACATCATAATAGATAATTACAATAGGCCTATAAGTAACTCAAATCTTAATACGCATCTAATAAATATGTTGAATAATAGAATGAATATTCCTGAATAGGCATTAAGCTTTTGATTCTTGAAAGATTAGGGGTGAATTTAATAAAGATCTGAATCAATATATTGTATGGATTAGGCAATTGATAATTGGTTTTATATGCTGATCCAATCGATATATTGCATGGATTAGGCAATTGATAATTGGTTTTATATGCTGATCCAATCGATATATTGCATGGATTAGGCAATTGATAATTGGTTTTATATGCTGATCCAATCGATATATTGCATGGATTAGGCAATTGATAATTGGTTTTATATGCTGATCCAATCGATATATTGCATGGATTGGGCAATTGATAATAGGTTTTATATGCTGATCCAATCGAGCATTAGTCAAACCTGTTTAATCCCGACAACACAATCCGTTGTATTCCACATCTGACAGTCCTAACTACTATGGAATAAAGTGCTTTTTGAATATATTTTCCAGTGATACCCATTATGAGGAAGGAAAATTATTTAGCTCAAATAACGTGGATTCCACTACATCAGGACTAAGAAAACTGTTAACATTCGGTTTGGGACCATTGACTAATTCTCAGAAGAAGATTTAGAAAATCTGAACTCGTTTGGTTCTACTAATTTCTCAACTTTGTTTAATCGTATCTTTAGTTGATGTTATACAGCGTGAATACAATATACACAACATTCACTTGCTGGATAAAGGCATTTCGTTACATCGTAAATTTAGAATATTGTGATCGACAATATGCTGCTATGAGATACACCCATATCCTGAGGATAACTTTAATAATAATAATAATAATAATAATAATAATAATAATAATAATAATAATAATAATAATAATAATAATAATAATAATAATAATAATAAAATGTCTAGAGTCAATGCGATATTCGAAGTTTCATAAAGAGACGTCTGAGACAAATATTTATTTACACCTAATTCACCATGAATTCTCAATGGAAGAATCAAATAACGTCCCGTACGTATGCGTTCTCTATCGATCCATCCTGAGTTAGTCTCGGAGGAGCGCTACTGATTGTCCAGTGGATTGGTGGTGGTTGGTTAGTTTCCTAATGACTATATTGTGATTTTATCTCTCGTGGTTATTAATTCTTTTCTCAAGTTAACGGTTTCACCAATTGACTGGCACAAATTTCGCATATCAGAAGATAGGTTTCATACATTTGTTACTCTGTCTACCTATCAGTATAATCATCTCTATCTCTCTTCAACCTTTAGTTTCTGAAGACCTTAGATCTTCGTTTTTATGAAGTTACTCACTGATTGACGAACAGCGTTTGGTGCTGATGAAAAGACCCGCTTGAGAGTGACTGTCTCTGTTTCGTCTGCCTCATTTGACAGTGGACACTTGGATTGCCACATGCTGTATGTTGTTTTTACTGCATTTACTGCATGATCTTTTGTCTTTCTCTCGCACAACTCTCGAGTCCTTGCTCAATCTCTTTCCTCCTTAGCAAGTATTTCCCAGCTGTTGCTGGTGCATGTAGATATATAATGCCTTGATGTCTATTTTGCAGATATCTTTGAAGTTAAACTGTGGGGAAATTTATTGCTTTCGCCAGAAGCTATCTCGCCTTAGAGGATGTCGTTTGAGATGTGCCCATGATACACACTTTAGCCATCGTAGACTTTGCCTTCTGAGTATTGTGAACATGCTGGAAATGTATGAACGCTCAGGAACATTTTTGTTGTGAAAACACTCCTCATCTCATTCAAGGAGATGCCAAGGATGCATCGGAATCAGCAACTGTCTAAGTTGTGAACCTCACAAATTGATGGGTGTATAGTTTCAATAGTTGAAGGACGGATATGGAATTTGGCGTTTCAAACATCTGGACCTATCCTTAGTGTCATTTTTCAAGCTGATGGCAAGCCGGAGGTCTTGGCGAGCTCAATAACCCCTCTTCCCTAAACGCTGATCCATCATACTGGACCGTGCAATGCATGTTTTCATGGAAAGAACGTATCACCCAGCGTAGCTTGTGGGGGACATACTATATTTTATAGCAGCTTCAATAATTCTTATTTGTTTAGTTGTCCTTTCCTGTGGCATTGCAGTTAGAGTGTCCGCCTCGGATTCGAGAGTCGCGGATTCGAACCCCGGCTGATTCTTACCAAAGACTTATAAAAATGATACTAACAGCTGCCTAACTTGGCGCTCAGCATTAAGAGGTCAGTGTTAGGTCATCATAGCAGCTTTATGTATGTTTTTTAATAAATAATTTTCAAATTTTTCAACAAAGGCAGAGTAAATAAAAACAACTCAGGAATACAATCTGCCCAAGTTAACTCTTTTCCCTTGCTTGCTTGTGGACCACTCCGGTGGCTTAGCGGTTAGAGCGTCCGCCTTGTATGCGGGAGGTCATATGTTCGATCCCCTGCCGAGTCATACCAAAGACTTGTAAAAATGGTACTAACAGCACAGGACATAGCGCTCAGAATTAAGAGATTAGTGTTAGGACTGGTTGGCCTGATGTCAGGATTATGTAACTGGATGGGACATCAAGCTGCATGAGTAGTAAAGGATAACCAAGTTTCTAGCGCAAACTCTATTTTTACCCCTTTTCACTGTCAGAACAAGTATAAATTACCCACCCTTTTTAACTAAAACTCTTACCCCATCCATCTTCTCAAAATGATAACCAGGTTTCTAGCGCAAACACTATTTTTACCCCTTTTCACTATCAGAACAAGTATAAATTACCCACCCTTTTTAACTAAAATTCTTACCCCACACCCTTCTCAAGATTTTTAACGCAAGATACAAATTACCCTTCATCTCTCTCTCTGTCATTACAAATATTTTATACAACAATCTATTTTACAGGTATGAAGCTAGGTTGTTAATCAGCATTGTGTACATGCTTTAATCACACAAGAATGCGTCGACCTATTACCTAAGCCTCTTGTCTAGAAGCCGTTGTGTATATGCTTTACATTCCAGGTAGCTATACAAGGATAGAGATCGCGTGATTGTGTAGAATTTGCCAGAACAAGGAAATACTGTAATGCGCATGCGTGGAATTTGCTGGAACAGGAAATACTGTAATGCGTGGAGTGTTCTAGAACAAGGAAATACTGCATTGCCCATGCGTGGAATGTTCTGGAACTTGACTAAACGCCACATATAAAAGCAAGTCGCGCTTAATAAATCAGTCTAAGGCAGAAGTTTGACCAAGTAATAGCTATACTGAGATCACGCGAACACCCAAGCGGAAATTAAACTACGCATTTGTGAAAAGGTAAGTACATTATTCTTAAGTTTAGATAAAATTTTACATTATATCATACTTCTTTTGATAATCTTTTTCATACTTGCTAACCCTCATTGGTAAAATATCTGTTAACATATTGTCAATAATGCGGAACTCACGTATTAAATCGTCCATATCATATTTTACACCTCGCAAGTAAGATCGAATCTGATCAAGTAGTTTTTTGTAAGTTATAATGGCTGTTCGACATCCATGCTGTTTTATTAAAAGTCTAGGTTCAACTTTTTTACATGTTGCTGTAAGAGAAACACCAACACCAGATATGAATAAAAAAGCGGATTTAATGATGCCCCACTTGAAATTATACCAGAACTGGCCATTACCAACGGCAGATATGATATTATTCGAAGTATTTTGTTGTAATATTTGTAACATTTTTTCACGCACCAAAGATTTTGTGATAATATTTGTAATATTGTATTAGTGCGTCTACATCCTGTCCTGGAATATCTTTTGAAATATGATGGAAATCAACTATACTTCTTTTCATTATATTAGTTTACATATTCCTATGTTTGGTTAAGTAGTACGTAATCACTGTGTTTCAGATATAAATTCCAAACACCACCGATAAGGGCCTACAAAATTTTCATCAGTTGGTTCAAGTATAAATTCTTCCTCAGAATTTTTATTTATTATTACAGATAATACTCCAGATAAGTCATCATTTAAATGACGCCACAAATATGTGGTAAATATTTTAAACTTTGTACTGCTAAGCACTGACAATCTATACATACCGGCAACGTCTGCAATATGTTTGATAGAAATGTTTTGTGATGTCCATCCACTATAACCGGATGCAACAGTATACACAATATTTTTAATCTGCTTGTGAGGAATTTTAATCATACTCCTTTTCTCAACAATACTAGGAATTCCACTGATAATATGATTGAATTTTGTGTTAATATCATTGAGTTTTGTGTTAATATTAGCGAGTGTAATGTCAACAGTTGATGGATTTCCCAAAAATTCATTTTTAAGTGTGTTTATGTTTCTGCGAAAACTTAAAAACGTGTTCGCGTGACGAAGAAATTCATTTTTGAGCGCAGTTATTTCATTATTGATTGGAAGTTCCTTATCATCGACATATTTCTTTGTTGCAGCATCAAAATGAGACTCTGGTGTTCTGAGGTAAGTAATGCCATTATTGTCATGTTGAGAAATGCACGCATCATACCACCATGCACTGACACATACTTTGATTCCTGATCATCAACATATTTCTTCGTAGCAGCGTCATTATCCTCAGTTGGGTTCCCAAGGTATGTAATCTTGTTCTGGTTCATAACAATGTTCCCATTAAATAAATCACCAGCTTTTTTAACATAATCATTAACTGACCTACCAGAATCTTGTATCTTACCTCGATTGTTAAAAGTAACGATATTATCAGCAACCGCAGTAGGATTTCGTACAAGTACATCTGACAGTTGCATATTACTCGTCTTTAATCGTCCTTGTTTGTCCTGGAAAACGACGACTTCATTTGGATCTACACTTGCAACATTTAGTAAATTATTGATTTCATTTTTGAGCTGATCAAGAGTTGCATACTTAGATAAGTCACCTTGATAACCTTCTGTTGATAAATCTCCTGCTAATGTTCCAAATTTTGTATAGTAACTCATTATTTACTGTCCTACATAAAATTATCAACATTAGTTTAATATTATATAAAATTATAACAACAATGGCAAAGTCGACAATATTAAACTTTGATACAGAGAGGCTGGTGAAGCATAAACATAGCAATGAACTTCCTGATTGTCATTATCTTATTGTTGGGCGAACTGGATCAGAAAAAACAAATTTGCTTATGAACTTGCTTCTTGGTAATAATTTTAACTACGATAGAGTTTATAATTACACAATCAATCCACAGAAAGATAAGTACGAGTTATTAAGCATATATAATAACAAGCTTCGTGATGATCTTAAGGGTGGTGAAGATTCTTTTTTATAATTAGGCAGCCAGACTATCTTATTCCAGTTAATCAACTTGATGTAGATGAACAAACGAGAGTACGTTTTGATGATTTTCCGCTAAATAACATGGAGATGAATAAAATAAGATCCTATTTATCACTGTCACGTAATAAACAGTGTAATTCTGTTTATCTCGCTCAAGGTTTTTATAATATTGACAGATTTAATCTGCGAAATACTGGTTGTTTTATATTATTTCCAGGACTGGACAATGTTGACGTTAAAATATTACGAACGAGCAATGAGGTGATGTGACAAACGATAAATTTATTGAACTTTATCGTAATACTACAAAGGATAAATACAACTTTTTCTAATTTTATAAACTTACAAATGATCTAACTAAAATGTTTCGCTGTTGTATTAATAGTTACTTATAGTTAAACGTGGTTTTGTTTTATAAAATTTATAATGATAATAATGGACAAACGAGCAAAATGTAGAAAAAAATAGATCTAAAAAAACTTGCTCTATCTCAGGCATCACTTAAGCAAAAAGTATAACAAGCACCACGTGGACAAGTAATTGCTACAGAAGCAACAAATACAATTTTCAAACCAGTTACTGAAGCACTATTTGGTAAACAACCTGAAACTAAACCACCATCAGAAGAAGAACTTAAACAACTGCAAGAAAAAGGTTCGGTTGGAATTGTTAAGGAACAACAAGAAGCAGCTGCTGCAAAATTGTTACTAGATCTGATGAGGAAAAGAGAAAATTAACTGAGACACTTACAGCAAATATAGCTGATCCTACTGCTAGACAAGCTGAAACAGATCGGACGATAAATAATCCGCTGGAATCTGAGCGAAGATTGGCAGAGTTAACAACGCAAGGAATAAAAAATATTATGACAAATTAACAAGGAGAATTAAAAGATATCAAAGAGAAGCAAAAATAGTTGGTGAGCTTACTGTAAAATTTATAGAAGTTGGAGAGCAAAGACATTTTTATAAGAAGAGCAAATGATGATATAAAAGGTAATGAATTCGACGAATTTGTAAAGAAAGAAAATATAAAAGATATTGATAATATAAATAAGTGGACCTATGTAGAATATCAAGTATTAATCTATAGATTAGCTGCAATATTTAAAGACGGAGTTACTGCTAAAGATGAAATAAATACGGTTGCAGAAGTTGATAATATGCTTCAACTTTATGACAGAATGAGATATGGTGTCATTGCTTTCATGATTGAAAGAACAACAAAAAATAGTAGAGCAAAACCTTTTGGTAGGGGGTGAAGTTTTAAAAGGAAATTTACTGCACTCGATAAAACTCGTGTATAAAAAATAGAGAAGGAAAAACAGGAACTGGTGTAAAAATATTTACACCAACTACTGAAATGATAGGTAGATTAATGTTATTAATATCATCTAAAGAAGCTGGGAATGCTAGTGTTGAAATTGATAATGAAATCATTGATATACTTGATCATCTAAGATCGAGCGGATTATTAACATCTGACGAATATGAAACTTTACACCGCGACTTAATTTTGTAAAATGATCTAATATAAAAAAATGTCAACAACATTATTGCTAGACTCTAGTGAGTCTGTGAAAGATAGCGCAAATGTTTCAGTAAATTATATTCCTCCTATACAACTAGATCCTGCAAAACAATATGAGATTGGATTAATTTCTTGTACTTGTTGGAATACTATGCCTAACGTGAAAACTGATGTTAATGATGAAATTTGGTTTACTATGATTACAACATCTTTACTATCTACAACAAAAAAATAAAATTCCACAAGGAGCTTATAATGTTACTGATCTAAACGGAACAATCGAAGAGCTCATAACAAAAGCTGGCGATATGGCTGATAATTTTGAGTTGGCAGCGAATTATAGCACATTGCGAGCTAGGAAAACTTTGAAAAATATATTAATCGGTCTTGAACCAAGTGTAAGAAGTATTGCACAACTGTTTGGATTTACTGAAAAAAGTTACACTGCTCTTGATCAAACTATTACGTATGACAGTGAACTACCAGTAAATATAACAAGAAGTAAACACAATATTAGTAATTTGCTATATTGCTTCTGGCTCTTACACATCAAAAGGTAGCAAGGGTAAAAAAATTTACAGTTTCTCACCAGAAGTTCCGCCAGGTT